AGGGAGAGAAAAGGGAAATTGCATGGAAATGAAGGGAGACCCTCATTGCTATACAAAATTACATATAAGAGGTTGAGAGGGGAATGGGAAAATAAACAAGGAGAGAAATGAATTACAGTAGATGGGGTAGAGAGAGAAGATGTAGACTCGCTTTCTTTTACAAAGCCTCAACACTCTGACCTTGTTTGCATTTGGCAGACCTGCTGACACTCTCAATAGTTGTTCCAAGTCTGGGCCACTCAACTCCCTRCTGCCTGTTTGCTGTTTTCCATTCAACAAAGAACCTAGCAGGTCGTGTTTCATCTAGATGTAGATTCCAGACAGGGGCTATGAAGAAAAGACCAAGCCATGAACTCCAGGCCTGGCTACATCATTTTTCTCTTCTGTCTTCAGTCTCTCTCTCTGCCTGCTTCTGCCCCTCATTATTTATATGCTTAAGTTGATCCAAGAAAATACTCCATCCTTTGCCTCTTCTCCCCTCCATCAAACTTCTTTCTTTCTTTCTTCTTCTTTTTTTTTTTTTTTTTTAAAGTACTGGGGCTTGAAACCAGGGGTGCTTAACCACTGAGCCATATCCACAGATTTTTAATTTTTTGAGACAGGGTCTTGCTAAGTTGCCGAGCTGGTCTCAAATTTGTGATCCTCCTATCTCAGCCTCCCAAATTTCGGGGATTACAGGCATACACCAGACTGCAGCTGGCTACATCAAACAACAACAACTCCTCCTCCTCCTCCTCCTCCTCCTCCTCCTCCTCCTCCTCCTCCTCCTTTTTGGTACTAGGGATTGAACTCAGGGGCACTCCACCACTGAGTCACATCCCCAGCTCTATTCAGTATATTATTTAGAGACAAGGTCTCACTGAGTTGCTTAGTGCCTTGCTATATTGCTGAGGCTGGCTTTGAACTTGTGATCCTCCTTCCTTTGCCTYCCCCGCTGCTGGGATTACAGGTGTGCACCACCGTGCCCGTCTACATAAAACTTCTTAGAGAGAAATTTTTACTTTCTATTTCAAATTTCTGACTTTTCTCATATTAGTTCCTCAGTCACAGTAATCTATCTTCTACTCCCACTGCACTATAAAAAACTACTTTGACAAAGGCCACCAAACACCTAGGAACAATTGCATATGCTATCTTCTGTGAATTCCTTGTCCTATCCGAATTCCCTGCAGCATTGGACCCTATGCATACAGTACTTCTTTCCTCTGAGATACTGCTTCTTGTTTTAATACTTCTCTGGCTAATCTTTTTCCTTCACTCCTTAAATCCCACCACCCCTTAAATGTTGGCATTCCCAAGGCTTCCACTTGAGTTTCTTCTCATGCCAGTATGTTCTCTGGGGTATGGCTTAGCTTCAGGTATCATCTAAATATTTCCAGACTTTTGTGTCCATGTCCCCCAACTCCTAGAGCTCTGTGCTAAGCTGGAGGTTCTCTTAAATAAGCACCGTAGGTTAATTAGAAAACAGATGAACCCACCATAGGAGGACCTTCATCCATTTCACCTCCACTAATTCTAACATTTCTTCATTTGCAGTAAAGAAGTTAGAAGGAGGGACAATCACTTCTGTTACGGAACCCTTAGCACCGGAGATAGACCTCCTCAGTGCTCTTAAGTAAAAATTCATGGGACAGTCTCAGTGCAGATCCTTGTGTCAACATCCCCTCTAGAGAAAAACAAAATGGTCCTGATGTCAGGTGTAGCAGTACCTTCTAGAAGGAAGCAGAGTTGGAAGTACCACATGGATGTTGCAGTTTGAGTTTGAATTCTTTTGGGGAAATGGAGTTTTTGCTCATTTGGTTCCCAAGCCCCATCCTCTCTGTGTGTGGAGGTTATAAAATTGAAACATTTCCAGGAGGAAAGGGGCTACCTTCTGGGACCTGACAGCACTTGATCTTCTTGCAAGCATCCTAAACTCAACGGCTCCATAACTGCCCTGTTCCTCTGCTTGTTCTTSCATCCTAGATAAGAGGGTCATCTTTTATCCACTTGATGCAGGTAGAAACCTATTATTGAGGAGATTCTCTTTTGTAGCAGTGCTCCCTTAGATTTCAGGCCAGAAACCTCTGTGCAGGATGGCTCCTTCCTGTACTGGAACCCCCCTACCATCTCCAAACCTCTATTTCTTATCCTATCCAATCCATGCCGTCAGACTCCAGCCAGAGGGAACTGTCCGGAATACAGTCTGATGATCATCCACACCAACCTGTGTTAAAACCTACTGCCTTGAGGACAATACCCAGGTTTTAGCGGGGCACCCTGTCCCGTTTTCCTCTCCAGTGACTCCTTCCTTCCCTTATCCAAGCACCAAGGGGCAAACACACCATGATAAGTACCCAGTGTCAACCATGTGCCTGTCCCTAATCTAAACTCCAGAATAGTCAAGGCAAATGGAAGGTCCTTCACTCACTTACCTCATTTTAGTAGGAAGAGCCAGTCAATAAACAAGATAATTCCAGATAGGGAGAAGGTGCTCTGGAGAAATGAAATGGGTGCTTCGAGGGAAGGGTCAGCTATTTTGGTTGCAGTACTCCTGGATGGCCTGAGGAGGTGATATTTAGTTAGACTTGAAAGATGAGGGCAAGTCACACAAAGATCTGGCAAAGAGCATGGGCACACAGTTTGGTCAGTATGTGAGAAGAACTAGGTTGGCAGATTGACCTTTTTTTTAGGTTAAAAACAAAATTGTGAGTATGAACCTTATATATGCCTAGGCCCAGAGTGGGAGTGAGGAGAGGGGTTGCACTAGATGAGGTGGGGCCAGATCACATCAGCCTTATAGGCATTGGAAAAGAGTCTGAATATTAATGAGAGGGATTAAAGGATTCTGAGTGAAGGAATGATTGGCTCTGATTAACCTTTTAAAAACACATTTGTGGCTTCAGGCCAATGCTCAGGTCATTCCTACACCTGAAGCTTATTAATTGGATTAGTTCCCAGGATCCAGGCAGCTGAGAAAGAGCCTCTTTCCTCCCCCAGCTTCCACTTGATGGTTAACACATTGTTCCCAGATGTGGAACACCTGTAAAAACTTAAATTGAGCAAATATGCTGCTTATGCTAACTTCAAATTATGTTTCTAGAGGTCTACTCTCTCAAGACAAGTGTAGGTGAATCAGTGTGGAAGGTTTGAAAAATATTTTTTAATTCATTATGAAAATTATATAAACTTCACTGAGAAAGTTACTTCTATTAAATGTTTAACAGAACAAAGTATTATAAGAAACATATAAGAAATGCATTCATGAAAATCTTTTCTAGAACTAGGTTTGTCTTTTTTGTTGAGTGGCAGGGGTACCGGGGATTGAACTCAGGGGCACTCAATCACTAAGCCACATCCCCTATTTTGTATCTTAGAGACAGTGTCTGAGTTGCTTAGCGCCTTGTGGTTGCTGAGGCTGGCTTTGAATTTGCAATCCTCCTGCCTCAGCCTCCCAAGCCTAGATAGGTTGTCATTTTATTTCAAGGAATACACTGCATTTCCAATTATCCATGGTAGAAAATAGCTGTCCTCTAAGTAGAATACTGGGACAATGTATAACTGTATGGTAATGTGTAGTGCACTGCCTGGACCATGATGTCAAAACRACCCAAGATGTGAGAAACCCACAAAATAGTGTCAAAAATGTAATGCAGGGGCTGGGAATGTGGCTCAAGCGGTAGCCCTCGCCTGGCATGCGTGCGGCCGGGATTCAATCCTCAGCACCACATACCAACAAAGATGTTGTGTCCGCCAATAACTAAAAAATAAATATTAAAAAAACTCTCTTTCTCTCTCTCTCTCTCTAAAAAAAAAAAATGTAATGCAAACCTTTGAAGTGTTTTGATCCTTCTACCAAAAATAACTGTTGAGCAGGTCATGAAAATCACTTCTTTGTATAATTATGTAAGGTGTGCTCAATGACTTATTTATAGGGCAAGCATATACATGTAAAAAGATACCATATTGTCCCAGTGCCCTACTTATGGGACCATCTGTGTTTTTGTTCTTATATACACCACAGATCACGATTGTGATTTCCAACCTATTTTAATGTTCCTGTGTCGTTGAAATATTTGCAACTCAAAATTTGGCACTTAATAAGTTGGGTTGGCGAGGTGTCCCCTAATATCCTTGTCTTGCCATTCATTCCATACATTCAGCAGTCCATTCTCGGTGCTGGGGACCTTGGGGAGACGCTGACAAGGCACTACCGCGTCAAGGGGTAATTCTTTTTTTCCTTCTGTAAGGATTCAACACAGGCACCGACTACATCCCCAGACCTGTTTGTTTTTTGAGAGAGGTTCTCGTTAAATTGCTGACGCTGGCCCCCAACTTGCGATCCTCTTTYCTCAGCCTCCCAGGTCGCTGGGTGGTATTACTGGTGAGCGTCGCGGTGCCCAGCAAGGGAACACTTTCTGCTGCTTCCGCCCCCATCCCTAACTTAAGGGGTAAGGTTTAGTCAGGATAGGTTTGACGCCCGGGGCAGTGACAAACCCAGGGCCCAGAAGCTGGCGGGGATAGAGACGACGTTTCACCGGGAAGACGTGAGCCACCTCCAACAGGCAGCTAACCCCGTCCTGCCTAAAATCAAAGCGCCCCAGGACAGGGCGGTGCCCCAGACTCCTGCGTGGGACGGACTACAACTCCCAGCGGGCCCCGCGCGAGGCGCGGATCCCTCCGCTCCCGCTCCCTCGCCCCTCCCGGTGGACTCCCGCGCCCGCCCAGGGCCAAAGCCAGGTCTTCTCAGGGTCCGAGGTCCGTCTTCTTATCACGTTTCCGGAGGAGGGCGCCTGGCTGCTCTGAAGGAGCAACGGACTTTTTTCGAGGCGATAAGCGGAGGCAGACTGCTAAGGGACGCAACTCTGAATGGACGATTTTCGCGCGCTTTGTCGCGGGTGGTTGTGGGTAGTGAGCCCGGGAGGGAGAAAGGAGCTGGGGGCCGGGCGCGCCCCGCAGGGCTCGCGGGGATGTTCGAGGAGGAGCCCCAGGCCGACGGGGCCGCGGTGGTCGCCGCGGCCGGGGAGGCGCTGCAGGCCCTGTGCCAGGAGCTGAACCTGGACGAGGGGAGCGCGGCCGAAGCCCTGGACGACTTCACCGCCATCCGAGGCAACTACAGCCTAGAGGTGAGCGGTGGCAGGTGGGCGCCCCGACCCTCGCCAGGCCCCACCCCCGCCCCGCCCCTACCCCCCGCCGGTGGGTGGTGGGAGTTCCCCACCCCGGGGGTCGCAGATCGGCTCCGCGGCGAGGAGCGGCGCGGGAGGGTGGTGCCGCTCGGCCAGCCCTCCCATTTTGTTTTGAGGCGGGAAACTGAAGCCCAGGGGCGCTGCGGCTTGTCAGAGGTCCCGCGCCACTCGGGGTCCCCGGACTCCAGGTTTGCAGGCCGGACTCCCTGCGCCCTACCCAGAGCCAGGGGTCGTGGCACTGCCGTTAAGTCGACACAGCAAACGTGTTGCGAAAGCTAAAATGACAGCGTGCCCAGTTCGCTTCCAGTTTGTCACCTCGGTTCTTTTCGAACACGCTCATTGATTCCTGTTCCGCAGTAGAGGGAAGGGGAGCCCCGAGAGGCTAAGCTGCGTGCCCAGGGTCACGCGGTTGGCGACGGACCCGCACTCGGAGGCCGAGCCATTTAGACTCCCAGCCTCCTGCCTCACAGGGTGCGGGCCTGGGCCGCCGATCGTACCCCGGCGCTGAGGAGCAGTTGCTGTAGCCGGAATGCACGCAGAGCTGTCCCCACTCCTCCGTCGGAGCCTGAGCCTGGTGCTTAGCATAGTGCCTCTGAGTAAAGCAACTGCCGTCGATGTTAGGTTTCCCCAACATTCTTGTATCTCGTCTTGCCAGCAGCCTGACAATGTGGCAGGGCAGGGAGTATTATACCTGTTTTCCAGTTGGTAATATTGAGGCTCAGAAGATTGTTACCCAGGGTCGTTCTATATAGAAACCCAGAAAAGCATAAGCTTAGTACAGAGAGAATTGTACGATGGGCCTCCATCTCGTCGTTGGCTCAGCAGATAAAAATATTGGGGGAAAATTTTTTTAAGCATGGTCAGACTTTTGTCATTCTATAAACAATACGGTATGAATATTTATATAACATTTACGTTTTATTACATATTGTAAATAATCTACAGATGATTTAAAGTCTACAGGAGGCTGATCATAGGWTATATACAAACACTGTGCCATTTTATATCTGGGACTTAAGCATCCCCAAATTTTGGCATTCTTTGGAACCAATTCCTCCAAAGGGAATTATTGAGGCAAGACTGTGTTTCAGCATATTGCTCCAATGGCCTCATGTTCAAAGGCTTTCATGAGCCAAGAGGGTTGGACTCACACACAGGATGTTCCTCTGACTCAACACTCAGTGAAATAACTGGGTCCAAAAGCATAGAGTTGGAAATATAGAGTTGACTATGTGTGTGACTGTGTATGAGGGGAAAAGTACCTGTGAGAGACTCCTATCTCCAGGGTATTACTTATTAGATTGGAAAAAGTACAGTGATCTGCATCTGAGTGGCATGATTGCAAAATTGAGGGAAGAATAAGAAAATAAAGGTGATTATGAATTAATGGAGTCTCAGTTGAAAACATTGGTTTTTTGAAAGCTTGAGAAAGCATTTGTGATAACCCAGGGCTTCATTTGATCTCTCATTGAATAAGCATTTATTGAGTGCACACTATGGCCAAAGGAACTCAACTAGACATCAGCTTCAGATTCTGAATGTGACAAACTCATTCTCATTTGTGTAGTTCTGCATGCGTTTGACTTTTCCTGGAACCTTTCTCCTTATCTATAATCCCAGGGGGAGGTTGAAAATTTAAATTTCTGGTTAGGTAGAATTGATCAATATGCCTCAAATGTTTGCTTTGGAAAACATAGATGTGTGAGTTGAGAGTTTGCAAGTGTTTATTCTACCCAGTGTTTAATTTTTCATCCTTTTTTTTTCCTTTCAGTTTTTGATGAAAGACACTTGGAATAGATATTTTCATATCTCTCTACTGCTTCCTAAGAACCCAGTCCCTATCCCTTTTTAGTTTACCCAACAATCCTCTTCCATTTTGAACCTCACTTCCCATTTTTGGTGATTTATACTTAGCAATTTTAAATCTTCTATGAAACCTTCCCTCATCTCCAGTCAAAGCCAGCTACTACACTATATTTTTTCACAACACTTTATCTTCCTTGCTGCTTCTATACTATATCACCAATTGTAGATGATAGTTTCTGTCACTCTTTTTAGCTTAGACTTGGAATTCTCCGAGTTCAAACACCATCTTTGTATTTCTAAGTTCTAGGGTCAAGGGCTAGAAACTAGAATGAACAATACAGTTAATTTTTTTTATTTTTTTAGGAAAAATCGAAATAATTCCCATACTATTTTCTCTACCTTACTAGAGATTTCATATAGTAACCTGTATCCAAAAGCTCTGTAATAGGGTATTATTCCCAAACAATTCATCAATTCAAGGATAAATTTACCTGGCTTATCAGTGCTTTGAGCAAATAAAACCCCTCGGAGGATTGTGGTAGAATAAAATGGGAACTTTAGCAGTTTAAAGAACTGACAGGCTGTGGTTTTTATAGCAGCTCTTCTTACTGACATTTATTCATTGAGGCTTACAGTAGCTAACATTACCTAGAACAGATAATGCAAAAGCAGGAAACAATGTAGCTGGGACAGAACACTCCCCCTTTAGGCTTAGCRCAGTAAAAGTCCCTAGGTTATTGACAAACTTGTACCCTTATAAGGAATGTAGAATGCACCCTCCAATAGAATTGCACCAACTCTCTTGCCTTGATGGACCCAAAACTTTGCATTGTGCTTGCTATCGGCTCAGATTTTGGGAATTATCTCACTGGGCTCTGGAGCCACTAATAATGTGTTGCTTGCAGCTCTTAATGTCTTGATCCTCATTTCCCACTACATGTTRGAAATACTGGGTTTTAGCTTTATTGATGACCACCCATTTCTATCTATCCCCTTTAGGTTATTGTGACAAATTTTTTTATCTTTTAATTTTTCTAGAGTCTCTTAAATAGGATTTGTAGAACAGCGAATAAGAGCAATATCATGTGCTAAGAGATTATTATCTGTGATTTTACTTACGTGTGTGGGTTTGTGTTTGTGTTGGGGGGCCACTGGCACTTGGGGTTAAACCCAGGGCCTTTTGCATGGTATGCAAGCACTGAGCTACACCCCCCTCCCCATCTCTCTCTTGCTCTTTTTTTTTTTTTTTTAAGTTGCTGATGGACCTTTATTTTATCAATTTATTTATATGCAGTGCTGGGAATCAAACCCAGTGCCTCACACATGCTAGGCAAGTGCTCTACCACTGAGCTACAACCCAGCACCGCCCCCCCATCTCTTTTTAAAATTTTTTTTTATTTTTAGACAGGGTCATGCTAAATTGCTGGAGTCCTCAAATTTGTGATTCTTCTGCCTCAGACTTGTGAATACCTTGGATTATAGTCATGTGCCACTGCACCTAGTTTGTAATTCTTTTTTCKGGGGAGGGGGGATGCGGGGGATTGAACTCAGGGACACTTGACCACTGAGCCGCATCTCCAGCCCTATTTTGAATTTTATTTAGAAACAGAGTCTCATTGAATTGCTTAGCACCTTGCATTTGCTGAGGCTGCCTTTGAATTCACGATCCTCCTGCCTCAGCCTCCCAGGCTGCTGGGATTACAGGAGTAGTCCACTGCACCCAGCTGTAATTCTTTTTTTTTTTTTTTAACATTTTATTTTTTAGTTGTAGTTGGACACAATACCTTTATTTTTAGTTATTTTTATGTGGCACTGAGGTTCAAACCAAGGGCCTCATACGTGCTAGGCGAGCACTCTACTGCTGAGCCACAACCCCAGCCCAACCAGCTGTGATTCTTTTTTTTTTTTTTTATTTTTTAGTTCTCGGCGGACACAACATCTTTGTTGGTATGTGGTGCTGAGGATSGAACCCGGGCCRCACGCATGCCAGGCGAGTGCGCTACCGCTTGAGCCACATCCCCAGCCCCACCAGCTGTGATTCTTAATCCTTAAATGTCACCTATATTTTTACAGTAAAATCATAAAATGAGTCAAGCTTGGAGATATTTCAAGTCTAAAGCAGAAAATTAAGTGTTGAATTTCCAGGTATCACCTTTTTTGTAGCTTTGTAAATTGAGATATCAAGACGGAAAGACATACTATTTTAAAGATAATGTGTTTGGAGGTAAATAATGYCCTTAACTTTTCCCTTACAAAAATGACAGTCTCCTTATATTGCACAAGATGGGTATTAATTTTTTATCTGTGACTCACCAACATCCTACTCTTTCTTTTCTCTCTAAGTTTGGTTTTAAAAATATATAAAGCTAAAATGATAGAAAGGAACTCCATCATCACAAATACCATGAGTGGTATTTTAAAATTGAGAAAGTTAATTCTGAGAAATTTAATTTAAAAGAACTCTCTATAATACTAGATTGGAGAGAAGAGATCTATTTTGAAATTAGTACTGATTTAGCATGGTATAGTTGTTAAAACACAGGACTAAGGAAGGAGTTTTATATTCATTAGGGTGACTTAGTTTGATGGGCAGATATCTTCATTTCTTTGGCCTTCTATCTACAGAAGAGGATTTAGACCAGGTAATTAATTCTAAGATCTCTTCTGGTTCTGGAACTCGAGCATTTTAACATATCCAGTTTGCTATTTGTCTTTTGCCTGCCAGGGAGAAGTTATGCATTGGTTGGCATGTTCATTATATGTTGCGTGCCGCAAAAGCATCATTCCCACAGTTGGGAAGGGTATAATGGAAGGAAACTGTGTTTCACTTACCAGAATACTACGTTCAGCTAAATTAAGGTAAGGAAATTTTGATTTTTTAAGTGTTGTTTCATAAGTCCTAAATTTAACTTTAGAACTTAATTTCTTTATTTTAAGTCATTTGATTTCATCAGTTCTAACTTTGTTATTGCATAGATATTCTTTCCCAAGTCTCAGATTCTTCCTCTCTTTAAATTCTAACTTTTTCAACCAAGGACTTCTGTGCTAAATTGTTTTTAGGTATAATTTTTCTTTTTTTAATATATTTTTTTAATTGTAGATGGACACAATATCTTTATTTGTTTATTTTTATATGGTGCTGGGGATCAAACCCAGGGTCTCACTCATGCAAGGCAAGTGCTCTACCACTGAGCTACAGCCCCAGCCCTAGGTATAATTTTTCAATTAATTTTTAAAAAATATTTTTATTAGTTGTTGACGGACCTTTATTTTATTTATTTATGTGTGGTGCTGAGAATCGAACTCAGTGCCTTACACATGCTAGGCAAGTGCTCTACCACTGAGCCACAATCCCAGCCAGTCTATTAATTTTTTTTAACTTGTAAATAATTTTAAGCTTATAGAAAAGTTGCAAAAATAAGAAAAATACAAAGAATACCCATATACCCTTGACCCAGTTTTACCTGTCATTAACATTTTACCTTGTTTGCTTTTTCATTTGATCTTTCTCTCTTAAATATATAGTTCTTTCTCCTTTAAATAATATTTTTTCCTCAACCATTTCACAGTAAGTAGCACACATTATATATCCCTTTACTTCTAAATGCTTCAATGGTATTTCTTAGTAAACTATGGTATAATTATCAACATCAAGAAAGTTAACACTTAAAAAAAAGAAAGTGAACACTAACATTTTATCCAGTATGCCATCTCTATTCTGGCTTTTCTCATTGATCTGATAATATTCTTTATAGAATTTTTTTTTTTGACACAGTGTCCAATCTAAGATCTAATATTGCATTSACTTGTCATGTCTACTTATTCCCCCTTTAGTCAGGAACAGTGCCAYACCCTTTGTCTTTTATGACACTGACATTTTGAGGAATAAAATCTACAACCCTTTTTTGTTTGTTTATTTTGTTTTGTTTTGCAGTGCTGAGGATCAAACCTAGGGCTTTGCACATGTTAGACAAACTTTCTACCTCTGAGCCACATCCCTTGTTCTCTACTCTCTCTTTGATAGATTGTTCCTCATTTGGATTTATCTGATGTTTTCTTATGATTATATGCAAATTATACATTCCAAGATTGAATACTACACAAGCAATTTTATGTCTTCAGGATATCACATCTGATGGAATGCACATATCCATTTGCCTTTCATTAGTGTTGTTAATTTTGGTCATCTGGTCCATGTGTTATCCTGTTTTTTTTACTGTAACTAGTAATTGCTGTAGGTCTTAGCTATATCTTACTTGTTCTTGTGCCAACCACATAGAACTATTTGCCTTGACAGGAAACAGAAATGGAGTGATTCAGATTTAGATAAGTGCTAATTTCTGTTCCTATTTGGTTTTTGTTGGTTGGTTGGTTTTTGTTTTTTGTTTGTTTGGGCTTTTTTTTTTTTTTTTTTTCCTTTTTTTTGACCTGGTACAAAACTATTTGAGATTATTATCTGTCTGTTCTCTACACTCCAGGGTAGAAGAGAGGCAAACCTTAAAGCCCTGTCCAGGGATGGCAAGTTGGTTTTACTTCATGCTAAATTAAAACAAACAAACAAAATCTCCGAACAGTTTTGGTTCTAGCAATGAAAAATTTAAAAATCAGGATGATTAAATAGATGCCAATTTTTTCATTGATGATAAAAATAAAATGAAGATTGTTAAGATTGTTAACATCCACAGCCCATTTGTACCAGGATATTGGGATAGGTTGCTTTGAGACCAAAGAAAATATCCAGAGACAGCATATGAGGCATAAAACTTTATGGAGAAATACWTACAGGGAAGGTCCAGTGGTGGTAGACTAAATAGATAGTACCTCGTCCCTCACAGCATTTTGTCCAGAAGCAGCCCGCTGGATGAGTATTTACATGTATCCTTTCCACAGTGCCCTCAGTTCTGCCCCAGTTGCCACTGAGAGAGTGATTTTATATTATTAGGCTGCAGAATTAGTGACATCATCTGCATTAGCTTGCTTGTAAGGTCAGCATTGCAAGGTGCAACTGTTTTGGATAATTTGCAAAAAGCAACTTTCTATAGATAACATTAGCATGCCCCAGATTCCGGTGTGTATGAGAGAAAGCCAGTATTCTTCAGGATAATATGGATTTGGACATTCCAGTCCAGACTTGCTCTCATTGTTCTCCTAACTTGGCTAGATTTGGGGGAATAAAAAGGGGGGCATTCAGGATCATAGTGTTTTACTATTTCTAAGAATGATACAATAGGGTCAAGGTAGCTTTTTAAATTGAACAAAACCTGTCAGTTATAGTAGAAAACAATATGATCTTTTTCTGTCCGTGTTTCTCATCACTGACCATATAATTTTTAAAATCTTTGTAATAATAGATTATTGGGGAAACTGAGCAAAAAAGAATTATAACTTTAAAAAATTTAGAGCAACACATGCTCAGAAAAATTCCAATAATAAWATGAGTTCTGGAGATGGATAATGTGATGGTTATATGTACTTAATGCCACTATTATGTATATTTTTCCATAAACACATAAAAACAATTTTTAAAGTTTTAAATAGTCTGGGGATATAATTTAGTGTCATGCTAAAAAAAAAAAAAGTGCTAAAAAAGGCCTAGGTAATCCTCAGCACTACAGGAGGAGAAAAAAAACAAATAATACAGAAGACTTTAAAGTAAAAAGAACTCTTTCTTTTTCCATTCTCCAGAATTAACCACCAAAACCACTTTTCTTTTATGTACAAAAAGCAAAAAAAAAAAAAAAACCAACAAATTTTAGTGGGTGTTGTTTAATTGTTTTAGATATAAATGATTCATACAACATGTATTGTTCTGAAGTTTTTACTTTATATTTTTGAAGTCTTTCTGAAGAAACCCGGTTTTTTAAGATGTAGAATTGATATTTTCAAATTTAATTCCAAAAAGTTTAAAAATTTTTTGTTTTGCATTTCTGGGGATCGAACCCATTGTTGCTCTTAGTATCTGGACTACTGAGCTGTATTACTAGCCCCTTTTTTTTTTCTTTAATATTTTTTAGCTGTTGATGTACCTTTATTTTTTACTTATTTATATGTGGTGCTGAGGATTAAACTCAGTGACTCACACATGCCAGGCAAGTGCTCTGCCACTGAGCCACAATCCCAGCCCCCCAGCCCTTCTTTTTTATTTTGAGTCAGGATCTCACTAAGTTGTCCAGACTGGCCTCACACTTGCTATGTTCCTGCCTTAACCTCCCAAGTAGCAGGAATTACTGGCATGTAAAAAAGTGGCCAGCTAAAAAAGTGTCATATTCTTAATACCAAAGTGCAGTTGATAAACAGCAACATGTTCATTCAGACAAAAAGTACTCAAAAGTAATGCTATTTGTTCATTAATAATTTGAGCTTTTTCCTTTGAGTCAGGATCTCACTATATTGCACAGGCTAGTCTTGAACTCCTTACCTCAAGTAATCACCTGCAGTCTGCCTCCTGTATAAGCACATGCCACTGCAGCTGGCCAAAATTTCAACTACGAATATACTTTTTACATGATTATGTAAATTTTTATAGCTATAGGAAAATGCTCACCAAGAATTGTTAAAAATTCATACTGGAAAATAATAAATGAGTATACATTATAGATACATATATGCCCAAACAGCAAATTTCTACTGAGTACTTTACCAATGTTCCAGGCATTTATTATTTGCTGTGTTTTGCATGTTTTTATTCATTTAATCCTCTCAGTAATCTCATAAAATAAGTCACATTTTACAGATGATAAAATTGAGTCACCAAGAAGTTAAATTGCTTCTTAGAAATAATATGCCTACTAGCTGGGCCCATGGTGGTACGTGCCTATAATCCCAGTGATCCTGGAGGTTTGGGCAAGAGGATCACGAGTTCAGGGCTAGCCTCAATAATGTAGGGAAGCCCTAAGCAACTTAGTGAGACTAGTCTCAAAAAAAAAAAAATGGAAAGGACTGGGAATGTGGCTCAGTGGTTAAGCTCCCCTGGGTTCAATCCCTGGTACAAAAAAGAAGGAAAAAAAGAAATATCTACTAACTGGCATGGCCTCCAAATTTATTCTATATTATGTGTGTCTATACACAGATACTTATTAGTATGTCTCTCTCTTAAACTATGTTTAATTAGCTTCAGTTTGGAAAAAAAAAAGAAAACTTAACACCAAAGCAAATTCTACCACTGTAACTCAGTGGCAGAGCGCTTGCCTCGCAGGTATGAGCCCTGGGTTCSATCCTCAACACCACATAAAAATAAATATCGTGTCCATCTACAACTAAAAATATATTTAAAAAAAAAAAGTATCAGGCTAGGGATGTAACTCAATAGTAGAGCGCATGCTCAAGACCCTGGGTTCAATCCCCAGCACTGGAAAGAAAAAARTATCATATAAAAACTCATTTGTGGGTCTGGGGATATAACTCAGTTGGTAGAGTGCTTGCCTTGCATGCATAATGCCCTGGGTTCAATCCCCAGCACCACAAAAAATAAAATAAAATAAAACACATTTGCTGCCAGGGAAGTGCGAGTGCCTGTAATCTCAGTGGCTTGGGAGGCTGAGGCAGGAGGGTCATGAGTTCAAAGCCAGCCTTAGCGAAAGCGAGGCGATAAGCAACTCAGACCCTGTCTCTAAATAAAATACAAAATGGGGCTGGGGGTGTGGCTCAGTGGTCGAGTGCCCCGAGTTCAATCCCCAGTACCCCCACAAAAAAACAACAACAAAAAAAACTTCATTTGCCATTAAGTATTACATTAAAAAGCAGTATCTGTTGTGCAATATGAATTTTTATTTCACCTTAATAAAGAAGTTTTGTTTATCTCATTTTTGTAGTTGAAGGAATTTATCCACATTGTTCACAAGTTTTTTTTTAGTAACGTG